AATTATATGACTTATAGTAACAAGTGTAAAAGATCTTTTACACAAAGGAGAACGAGGTTAACATCTGCGTAGAAAATAATGTGTAAATTATGCGCGAGCTACGCCGTCGTAGCATCTTGCGTAGTAAATGCTACGAAATCGTAAGTCTTGCTATGTTATATGTATAAAGCAGAAATGCATAAACATTGTTTAAAGCTACCTTTGCAACTATCTTATACATATGTAAACTAGCTTTTTAAGTATATTAAAATAAACAAAAAAAGAGTATATTGTGTTTATTTAAGATTAGTTTGACAATTAATTTTTCAACAGTTCACTAGAGATGTTATGAAAATTTTCGATGGTTGTTCTCATAAAAATTGCAATAGAAAATTTAGTTGATTATTGTTTTTGATTTTGGATAAAAATAAAATTGTTTCTTTTTATGACAATTTTATTCTTCAAAATTGTGTAGAAAAAATAAATATTATACCAAAAATTAAGGTGTTGAGACACAAAAAGAAGTATTTTTAATGTTCTTTTTTTAATTAATTTCGGGATACGTACCTAAATATCTGTAATAAATTTAAAAAGTTATAAGATATCTTTGATTAATATTTTTATAAAACCGATTCTCGATAGTTCATAGTTGTTCGTAACGCGCGTAGTACGGTCCTACATTATGACAACCGTCTATTAAGTACAACATTAATGCTCACACAAAATTAATTCGATAATTTATAGGCGTCAGTTGTCAAATTAATATATCTTAAATAGACACACTATAGTCAGTAATTTACTTCAATTTACAAATGCATATTGTTGTCCACTTTTTTATAGATGAATGATAGGAATGGCAGGATGTTTTTTTTACTAGAAATATGCAGTGGAGACCAACGCTTAAAGAATAGAATGCATTTTCATATCAGTACAGCCATTGACATAGACTAATGAACGTGGTGCATCAAAGCATTAGGCGCCATGTTAAGCTACATTTATACGTTTTTTTATTTTAACAGACTATGATTGATGTTCTTCTAAAATAGTCTAATTTAGTTATTTAATTAAGTTTAATTGTTGTAAATCGTGTCAAGCAATAAATTAAATGTGCTAGAAATAAAGTCATAAATCGTGTTGCAAGATTCCGCAAATTTACATTTATTGCAAGTTAAATAAAATAATGTAATTATTAAAGTAATTAATGCGAAAGTAAATAAGAGGATATATATTACATTGTAAATGGTTTACTGTATTACGAATTTTATTATGCTACCTTTAAATATAGAATTAATTTCTTTAAAAAGTTTCTTTTAGTAGAATAAGATAGTCCGCGCATTGTCCGTGCCCAAACCGAAACACAAATAGATTTCACCAAGTAAATGATAAAATATTCTTCGTAAATGAAATTTTTAATCTTTTTGAAGTGAAATGAATAAAATAGCCGATGCCTTAATTATCCGGTGACTCTCCTTGATTCTGTGGAAAAATGTTTTTTTCCTACTTATTACGTTGTATTCATTCCTCAGTGGGCGGTTTTGTAGGAAGTTTGTATTTTGTAGATGAGTATTTTTTTTTAATTAATGAGTAGAATTAATGTCTGACCCCGTATTCAAATTAAGCCGTGATTAATTATTTTAAAAGTTTTTGGTATTTTTCCATTAAATAAAATATGTTTTTGTGAATGTTTTTTCTTATTTACGTTGTCGCAATTTGTTTAAATTAGATGCTTTAGATCTTTTACGTGAACTTATCTTACATATTCCATACTCTCCTCCTTTTTTCTATCATAAGGTGGCAAACGAGCGAGCGGCCACCATAAATCGCTGAAATAGCGAAGTACATTGCCCATAGACATACGCAATTCCATATGCGTTGCTTACCTTTAATCGACGGAGGAGAGGATGCACAGAAAGAAAATATTTTACCTTTTCATGCATCCTCTCATCCGGAAAGTCCACTTCCACTGCCCATCCTTTCCTTATAAGAAAAGGGTGGGAAGGGAAAGAGGAATAAATTAGGTAGGAATTAGTCATCAGACAAAACGCGGAATTGCTTCCACTTCACGCCTATCTTCTGTGTGGTCGTGGTATTTCACCGGGCGAACCGGGACAATTCGTGCGAAGATATTAAAGCGGGCTCTACCACTGTTTAAATATTCTTATATTCCATATAAGTATAAAGTACTAATAAATAAAAGTGTTCAGATAAAATATTTCACAAATAAAACAAAAATCGATTCAAAATTTTATAAAAATTTCATGTTCTAAATTAAAAGATTTTATTTTAATACACAAAAGTGCTTCTTCAACTTTATTCAACGAGGCTTTAGGTCTAAAAGAAATTGCATTGAAAACATCATGGATTAATTTTGCAACATAATTATTTTCTCGGAAGATTTATTTCAAGCTCCATTTAAAACTGAATCAAGTACCGAGCTTGAGAGAAACTCGCTTTGTATTTATAAATATTATTTTGCGTATATTTCTATAAGAAACAAACTGTTACTTTTTATTCAGGAACTTGTTATATTAAAGACCAGCTGTAGCCGGGCGACTCCGTTGTCCTAAGGCCTAAAGCCTTCCTCAATAAATGGACTATCCAACAAAAAAAGAATTTTTCAAATCGGACCTGTAGTTCCTGAGATTAGCCCGTTTTAACAAACAAACTCTCCGGCCCGTGGGTTTCTGATACCAAAGTCTCCGATTTAATCATATTGTCATCTTTGTTTTGTCAATGATAATGACAGTGATGATAATATATAGTTTATATGGAAATATTTTTGTCAGAAACCCACGTTAAATAATTTAAAGTTAAACTTGTCGTAATGGCTTATATAGAGTCGATTAATAATTACTTAGCAATCTCTTAGTTTAGAATTTTTGGTATAAATAATTTTGTAACCGATATCCTTTTTAAAGACGAGGTAAAGTTAGGAAGAAAATAATTTAGTAAACTCTCAAATTAGATGACAAATCTTTTTAATATTTCCTTAAGTAACTTAAAACTTTAAAACTTAAAATATTCTTTTGTAATTTTTGATTTTTAAAAAAGAAAAAAACAAATTAACATCTTATAACACTATCTAAAATGATAAATAGGAACACCATGTAGATTATTTTTCAATGAAGTATTTTCAGAGATATCTGTAATATAGCGCGCTGCTATTTACCTTAGGGTTGTTTTAAGAACCCCTCGTCGACCTACGTACAGGTTGTATATTAGAAATGACAAAGGGAATAATTAAAATGGCACGAATGTATGTATAAGCGTAGCTTGAATCCCTCTCTGCGGTTGTCAAATCTCCCGCTAAGCACGGCAACTTTAATTTTCATTTGTTAATAAGGCTTGCTATGCTTAATTAACTTTGGAGCTGAATTTAAGTTTTAATCAAACTAATTAGTTGTTGTTATACAAATGTAATTACGAGAAAGTTTTACAAAATCATACATGAGCTGTTTTTGCTAGTTCTTTGAAATAGGCCAGCTTAGTTTATCATTGTTTAATTTTTCTAATATTATAAATGCGAATCTTTAGATTGATGGATAGATGTTTGTTAGAAAGTATCTTCAGAATGGCTCTATCGATCTCTTCGGCATAGATATAAAACACTGGATGCGAGCGGCACAGGACCGGGCATTGTGACAATCGATGGGGGAGGCCTACGTCCAGCAGTAGAAGAATTTAGGCTGATTATGATGATGATGATTATGGTAGAACAAATAGGGTGGTTACTAATTAAGTTTTTCTTTAATTTCGCGAGGACGAAGTCGCGGGCGAGAGCTAGTTAGTCTATAATTCTGACACTATAATTTTGTTACTATATACATATGTCAGATATTGGGTTTTCACTACGAAGTACTGTATTAAAAAAAAAAAACAATCCCGTATGTTCGTCTGATTCAGTCTGGTAAAGTCAGGTAAAGTTTATCAAAGTGTATACGTATTATATAATATTAAATTATTAAGTAATATTGACTAAAATATTTATAGTTAACATGATTTCTGTCTGATGTCGCCTATAGATATAGTTTCATAGTATAGTTCGTTTATAGAATCGGTTGTATTAGAACGTATATAAAGAAAAAAAAGCCTGTACGGTGCAAACCTTTTGTGACAAAGGTTCTGCACTTGTTAATGGAATGTGTCTGGTATACGCAAAGAGACTGGGAAGAGGGAACTGAACAATAACAGAAAATGATGAAGGTGCATTTGCGAGCGCGCCCCGACCAAAATGCGAAGAGGTTTTATTCACTTTTTCCAACACTCGCCTCTGTTGTACAAGGTGTGTTTTACTTGAGTAATTGAAAATCGATTGATGATGTGTTTATACGTTTTTTACAGTAGGATAATGATTAAACACATCTGATATTATGATATCAATAGCGATGATGAATTACGTATGCTTTCCTAAAGGACAAAAGAGGGAAATTAATCCAATGGTACGGGAAATTTAAATATAATTTACGTTCTTCTCTGATTTCTATAAATAGATAGGCGATTACTTAAGAATATAAAAAATGTATGAAATTTACGCGCAACAATCACGTGATTTACCGAAAATTATTGTTTATTCAATACATTTTTGGGGTTCGCTATGGAATCACTTCGAAGCGATTGCACTTTGTCTTACCTCCCTGTTAGTTTAACGTAACAGTAAATTGTATCTATATTATTAGTTCGACTCCACACCACCGCTACACATCGCTACCATTAGTGCCAAAATGGCGCAAATCAAATAGGCACAAAATTCTACGTACTATAGCCACTCCATTTATAGAAGACAGTGGTTATCTTCCATCGACTAATTTAATTAATAAGATCCAAACATTATTCTATTGTTTTAAGGTTATATATAAATCTTTAAATATATTATATATTTTACATATAGTTTTAGGTACAAAGTTAAGTAAGAAATTCATAACAAAGTCGGCTGGATCTCTCTCTACTTTGGTAATAGCCCTCGGAAAATATGTTATTTTCATACACAAGGAGCCAAAGCCAAGCGTAGTCGGGTATCCGCCACCGTGGCGTAAGGTCGTGTTTAAAAGTCGGTTATTTAATCGAAGTGTTACGAGTTCGTGCAATAAACTGTCGAAAACATGCTCACTTAGGTACGGTTTTTTATTTATTAATACGTGTATTTTCTGTGTTTTTATCTGTTGTGATGTTTAGAGTTTAATTCAGTTTATTATTATCTTAAGATTGACGACACTATTTTCTTTAAAATATACGTCGAAGGAAGAACAAGTTTTAAAATTTAATTTATGTAAATGGATTTCATTTTTATTAAAAGTTATCCGTTCGGTTCAAGTTAACTTACTGTATTCAAATAAAGAGGCCATTTTAGATTGACTGACTGAACTTGTTAGAATTAAAATGACCTGCTAAATTTACTAAAAGGCTTAATAAAATAATTTATTGTAAACAATAAATAAATATTAAATTATGTCTCTTTTTTACATCAATTACCAGAAAAATAGACTTTTGAATATTTACAAAACTGGTGTGAGTAGAATATTTACTTACATAATGTGACAAATATTTAATTATTAATACTATTTTATCTAATACTAGTTACATACTTGTTGCATGTGTAACCTTTTTCTAGCATCCTCTTCTTTTTTAATTTTTTTTTTAATTTGTTTACGATCGTCTTATTTTAACAAGTGCTCCAATTTTTTCGCTATCGTTATATCATTAATAATAAAATTGAACTGTCTGTATGTAATTTAAAATAAAATCATGTTTCGTACACATGATGTATTTGCGAAGCTGATAATAAAATATTAACGATTTCGGTTTGTGTGACTGTATGTCTGTCCACAAGGCCGTGTTTGCTCCGGGTAATCTCTGGAACGGCTGGACCGATTTTAACGGGACGGTAGCTGATATACGAGGGCAATTTATAGATTATTTTATACTGCGTAAGTCGCGGGCAACCGCTAGTTTATAATAATAGTTTTACTGTAGAATTTCATTGACATATTTGTGTGTATATTGCCATCTCTTTCATTCCCTTTGATAAAATAGAGACTATAATATGTATAAAAGTATCACGGATATGGTTACAATATTTATCTCTTGTAACATTTTATATTGTAAAGTACGCTAAAAATTACCGACCTCTCATATCTTTATCTGAATACGAACGGGGTTTTTTGTATTTTTTTTTTGATTTATCAATCCAATCATAGTTGTGTTTATGTTATATAAACTGTTATATTCTGAGGTATGTAAATATTAAGATTAATCGCTGTCGTCACAATAATTTATAAATGATAATGAAAATTATCAACTTTTTTATAGAAATTGCAAAAACAAATGAAAGTGAAATGTAATAAGTTAAAATTGTGTTGAAGAAGTACTTAAAGGGATTTTTAATTAACGAAAAAACGTTGTGTATCGATTTAATTTCGATCACTGGACGACCACTAGCTTACTGACACAATTTCTAGTAATTTGATGCTAAAATTCAAACTCTATCATTATCTGATAATGTACATCTATAATTAGTTTAACAGTGGTAGAGTCCGCTTTAACCGGCTCGCCCGGTGAAATACCACGACCACACAGAAGACAGGCGTGAAGTGGAAGCAATTCCGCGTTTCGTATGATGACGGTGCGTCCCGGAGGCCTAATTCAGTCCTTTTTCCCTTCCCACCCTTTTTCTTATGAGGAAAGGATGGGAAGTGGAAGTGGACTTTCCGGATGAGAGGATGCACGGAAAGGGAATATATTTTCTTAATGTGCATCCTCTCCTCCGTCGATTAAAGGTAGGCAACGCATATGCAATTTCGTATGTCTATGGGCAACGGTCACTTCGGTATATCTGCGATTTCAGATGGCCGCTCGCTCGTTTGCCACCTTATGACATAAAAAAACAAATTAGACAAAGGCCAGATATAAAAAAGCCTTTTTGTATATTGAAAAAAAAAATGTAAAACAGTATATTTATATATCGTATTTATAGTGTAGTTTCGCAATAACAACGGGATTTACTCCAATATCATAATAATAGCTCGATTCGGTGAACCGAATAGATTTATTTATTACATCAGTGTGCATTTATATTTAAGCTGCAACGTGCATTCAACATGAATTCGATACTCGAAATGTTCTTGTGAATACAATTTGGAAAGTTCGTAAATTAAAAGTATACTTTTAGAGATACAGTCTTAAATCTATAATATTAAATAAAATATTAAAAACGAATAATTTACTTGTAAATATTATTAAAAGGAGTCCCTATAGGCAAGGTCCCGAAGATACTGGCAGCTTTTTGTGAATTGCAATTTTAAATTCCACATTATGGTTAGCTCAGCAATAAATGTAAAGTATCATTTAAGAAGAACCTCGGTGGCTCAGAAGTTAAGCACTTGACTTGAAATTTGCAGGTCCTGGGTTCAAATCTCGCCGTGTACAAATGTGTTTTACGATTTACATATGTACGTTTAGCCGATGTCCTTACGGTAAAGGAAAACATCTTGATGCAATCTGAACGTATCTTAAAAGAGATTTGATCTAACCAAGAACTCATTGTGAGTTTATTTTCTACCCTATGTAGTCGATCGTTGTAAAATGTTAAACGCCGCCTTAAAATAATAGAAATGTTTAGACATTGTTTTGTTTCAATGTTGAATTTTCTTTTCAAACAACTTTTGATGTAAGCTAATTTCTCGTTGCAGGCAATGTTACGTGTTATTCGGAGTTAAAGAAGCGGTAGCGAACTGAGTAATTATCTAAATTCTTATGTAAGCAAGTTAAACTGCCGACGGTATCAATCTCGGCAAATAATCAGCGTTGGTAATAAACAAAATGTTAAATGCGCTAAATAGGGCTTTAATTGGAATAATTCTAAACTACTTTGCTTTTTTTTGTAACTAATTTTACGATAAGTAATTATAAAGTTGCAATAGAACTTAATTTACTTAGTTAAGTTGTAGATTTTTTGGTAATAATAGCGCAAACGCATACTTAGTAGACTTAAGACTTGCCTTAGACTTAAAGAACATGCTGAATATTAGTCGCAGTATTCCGAGTTCACATAATATGCTTTTTAAATAACTTTATTCTTTAATAATTTTAATTAAATTTCTAATAAAGAACTGTACCCGCACGGACGCTAACCTTCTTTTGTTTTAAATTTTATTATTTTATATTACTTGCAATTAGTCTACTATGGTAACGCTTTAGAAAATTTGTGGGTATATATTTATGCAATTATATACATTGAATAAATAATATTCAATGAAGCAATAATTATATTCTGTGATATAGTTATTTGATGATGATGATGATCATCAGCTCACTATACGTCCCCACCGAGGGGCTTGGAGCTTACCCTAAGTGATTAGGCCATAGTCAACCACGCTGACCAAGTGCGAGATAGTTATTTATTGTGGTCCTATTTATTACTAAATTTTAAAATATGCAATTTATGAAATAAATAAAAAATAATGTTATTTTTTTAATCGTATAGTAACCAAAAGTTTAATTAAACTGCGCCCTGTGTTTGGCGCGAGAAAACGCGGGAGCCAAACCCAGTGCGAGTTTTAACTCCCAGGCTATTGCGCCACCACTAACCACAATTTAAAATACAATTAAATATAAGATATGAGAATTATCTATCAAAAAGGAATTATTCATACGGAATAACTACTGGTTTACATAGCCAAAATATTAATAAAAAAAATGTTTTAAAAATGTTTTCGTTGTTTGTTTCGGTAGTGGAACCCACCGCGATACTACAGGGTCGGATCTATCGAGGCCGTCATGTCACAGTGAAATATCGATACGAAATGAAAGTCATAACATAAGTGAATTTTACATTATCCCGTTTCTCCAACATTATGCCTTTCATATACTTTACGCGATACGCTCCTGAATAATTTACGAGGTCACGGAAAACTTTTATAAAATAAAAGAGTATTCGGGTGTAAATATTGTCTTCGGGAAACGTCAAACGTACATTTTCATTTCTTACCCATATTAAAACTTCGTCGGAAAATATTATTTGATAAAAAATGTAACGACCGCTGTAATATTTTTGTTACATTTTTTGATTTTTTTCTTTAAATAATATTAAATTTTATAAATATATTTTCTCCTTAATTTATAGTAATGTTAGAATGATGAAGAAACAACCGTGAAAAGAAATGTTCATTACTGTATGAACTTAAGTTTTAAAACATTCTTTATTTTGCTGTTTATCAACTATCAATATCGGTAAAATATATTTTATGACACTGTTTTAATCGTTATTTAATTAACAGGACAGGCGATTAATACTTTTAAGTAAATTAACACCTAATACCTATATACCTTATGCTTATATTATAAATGCGAATGTTTATGTGATGTAATGATGTATGTTTGAAGGTATATCCAGAACGGCTGAACGGATCTCGATGAAATTTGGTATTCATGTAGGACATAGCCTAGAAAAACACATAGGGTACTAATTAAATTTATTTTTATAATAATTCCGGGCGGACGAAGTCGCGGGCGACAACTAGTTAATACCTAAAGAAAAGGGTTTCTTCATATAAAGTAATTTAAAGTTATTGATCTCTAATATAGTGATATATTTCATATGGTGACATTCTAAAGTAACAAAATTCACAAATAAACTGTGACATGTCTACGTGCCGGTCTAGTTAGTCACCTAACGAACTTTTTAGTAGTTAAGTAGTACACGTATTAAATTTTTATTTTTGGACATTTTTAATATTCTATCGAGTAAAAATACTATAAAAAAAAGAGTTTGTCCATGAATTTGTTATTTATGAAGTTTGGAAGGCTGCCTGAGGGCGCCTTTTCAGATTTTTGAACGGCATAGAATTCAGAATTATGTTCGTGAACTTGCGCAGATTTTGTAAATGAAGCCCATTAAAAATGCAAGTCAGAATTCATGAGATCTTGAAGTAGAGAGTAAAGGAGAAAATATAGAGGTCGAATATAAAAAATAATTTATTACATATAAACAAGAAATTAATAAGATTGTATGTGGATTGATGGATTGTGTGAAAGAGGTTATGCGTAAGACAGAATGGAATTCAGATAATATGACGGCTGATAGATCTAGAAAGATAGCTCTATGTAAGAGTTACTACCTTCCGTGGGAAGAATGGGAGGAAGATAAGTACAAAATAAAACAATTTTAATAGAAGTATAAGTGTTTAAATTACCTTTTCTATTTAATTTATTAATTAATGCAGAGGTCTAACTTTAGTCTTTGGCCTCTTTAGAGGGAACGCATAGGAAGCGGAAATATCCACTTTATGTGCGTGTCCTCCTCCAACGATTAAAGGTAGGCAACGCATCTGCAATTGAGAACAACTATTGGGAGCGGCCGCTTCGCCATTTCGACGAATTTAGGTGGCAGCTTGCTTGTTTAATGCCTTTTAATGTTAAAAATATAACAATGAGAATTATGACGCGCTGTCAATTAATAGTTATTGTGTCAGGGGTGATAATATGACAATTCAAATTCGGTTGCAATTTTATAATATTTTTGCAATTTCGCTGCGAACTTAAAATGTATAAACGTTGACATGTGACAGCGTAAGTGATGTGAATATATTGAAATATCTTCATTGTTTGATATAAATAAAAAGTTTTTGTTATTTATGACCTATATGAAAATTATTCAATCATCCTTATGTTTACATTTGTAACTTTTGTATTATCATCAGCTCACTCACTATAAGTCCATTTTGAGATGCTCGTAGCTTACCCTAAATCAGGGGTGACTAGATTAGTCAACCACATTCTTGCGGGTTGGTTGTCTTCACACATATCTTTGAATGTCTTCGTAGATATGTGCAGGTTGCATCACGATGTTTTCCTTCATTGTAAGAAGGTCGGATAAATGTACGTATGTAAATCGTAAAATACATTGATACATGGCGGGAATCGAACCCACTGCTGATAATGTATTGTATTGGTATTGCGACATTAGAAGCGCACAATTAGTCTATTATTTCCTCAATATATCTGTACATGAGATTTAGTATTGTTTTAAAATAGTAAATCCGGATAATACTTCCTATAAAATAAAAACAAATAAAGAATAAAAGTTAAAATTGCCATTAAATGATACGAGCCATGAAACAAGAATGCAAGAGCGTTGCAGGAATACGGACGAAGTTTTTTTTTAAATATATCTTTATGATAATTATCTTCAATGAAGCGGAATATACCGGTTTTTGAAATCGATACGAGCGCCGCTCGCGTCGGTAATGGCAAACTAACGGTCTACAATAAAAGTTTATTATTATCCGAAGAGTAAAACTTTACACATTTAAAAAAAAAACACGTCAAAAATCATTGGAATAGTAAAACTTTAAGAACACGCTTTACTGTAAAACAAATAAGATAGAGAAAAAGTTACTGAAATCAACAACACGCAAACGTTCTAAGCAAAAGAAATGTTATACGTAAAATTAAGCAGCATTTTAGCAACTGCAACAAAATTGTACGGAATTTTTTAGGTTTCTTGTAGCATTATATATTTTTTTGCATTTTTTTACAATAGCGGTTTGGTATCGTGTATTTACAATCGCTCCTAGAGGTTGTCTGTTACCAGAATTTCTCCCTTATGGAGGTCGGACAATGACTCTCGCTTATAGAGGTTTCTCGCTTATCCAGTTTAAGCTTGTCTACGTTCGAATGTAAATCGTGTTAACTTCTACTATAACATTAATATGTATATTTGATAAATTGTTCAGAAACAATAATACATGTCGTTTAGGATTTAATTGCGTGCCGAGAAAAAGTTTTGTACCGGAAGTAACGTTGTGCACGCACCCTTTTATATACGTGTACCTTATCTAAACGACAATACGTCAGGCATATTAAAAAATATACTTTTTAATAACCTAACTTTGGTATAAACGTAGTAAATTATTTAATGATTTATTACTTAAGACAATATTTCTGCATACTCAGCTTAAAATCTAAAATATTTGTTATAACCCATGAATAATCTAGTTAGTCATTTTTTTTTATTTATTTATAAATTTACAATATCTTATATATAAAATTCTCGTGTCACAATTTTCGTTCCCATACTCCTCTGAAACGGCTTGACCGATTCTCATGAAATTTTGTAAGCATAATGAGTAGGTCTGAGAATCGGCCAACATCTATTTTTAATACCGCGCGGACGGAGTCGCAGGCGTCAGCTAGTATTATATTATTCAAACTTTCGTGAGACATTATACTAAACTGATATATAAACACGGCTAAACACTCACGTATATTCGTCCGGTGGCGGCACCGACTAGTTTCGAGCCTATCGGGGGCCGTTCATCAGGATGACTGGTACTGGTATTATTTCGCGGACGCCTGCGACGGGCTCGAAACTAGTCGGTGCCGCGACCGGACGAATATACGTGAGTGTTTAGCCATGTTTATACGTCAGCTAGTAGTCTGTAAACCTCTTGCGGGTTTGTCCAGACACTGCTACTACGCTATGAAATGATATAGTAGGTAAGTTATAGTGTGTCTATTTTAAACCTAGGCCATAACGTACATACATAAATATATAACTAAATGTATAGTAATAGTAAATTTTATACTTTCTTATATCTCATATCAATTACAATAGTTTCTAATTAATTTTTTACAAGCTGTCACCCGCGACTTCGTCAGCGCTTAATAAAAAAAAAACATTGTTATTAACCTCTGTGTTCTTCCAGACTATTTTCTACATCTATGCCAGGTTTCAG